AATATAGCCAGAGAGGGAATTACTGAACTAGAAAATTGACCTAAAGATTTTACCTAGCATACATACTAGAAAGACCAGAAAAAGAGACCAATAAGTCTGGTACAGTGGCACACATCTGTAATTCCAGCACTCAGGAGGCTGAGGCAGGAGGATTGCCATGCGTTTGAGGCTAACCTGGGCTACACAGTGAATTCAAAGCCAGCATGAACTACATAGTGAGACCTTGTCTCAAAAACAAATAAGTCAATTATGTGATTACTCAGCTAAGAGACATTAAGAAATAGATTGAGGGAGTTCAGTATATAATAAACAGGAACATCAGAAGAAGAGGGTACAAGAATGACTAAGAAGCAATAGCAAAAAAGCCAATGCTTGAGAATTTTCCAGAATTGTAAACTTGTGTCCTCCAATTAACAAAAACATAAAAGCTCTTTTCTGGCTGGGACCTTGGAAGTGTTAAAGAGAAGGAAAAGAAGGTTCTTGCCATGCTACCAACCCTTAAGAAAAAGTGAAGAAAAGCAGAGGTGAAGGTAAAGCACCGGAGAAAGAAGACTGCCTAAAAGATGCTTTGAAAGGCCAGGAGGAAGCCCATGGATGAAAAATCAGGTGTTGTCCTTTGAGACAAGCTACTTGTTTGGTCCTTTAGCTGCCGTGTTTCTGACCTGTTGAACATTTCAGGAATCAAGATACAAATACTTCATCGGGTTGTTGGCAACAGCTAGATGGAACCAGGGCAGCAACCTGAAAAGAAAGCTCTTTGTCATTAAAAAAAAAAAAAAGAAAGAAAGAAAGTAAAAAAAAAAAAAAGAAAGAAAGAAAGAAAGAAAGAAAAGAAAAAGCGAGGTGCTGTCATAAGGAGTACAGACAGATGGACAGAACTGAGAATCGGATGGCTAGGATGGTGAAAAAAGCAGGCAACAACCGTGTCCCTGTAGAACCCATATTGCCATTTGTCATCAAGATCAGGTGTGTGCCCAGTGCTGCAGTTCCTTTTCCTTCACTAGATCATCAGTGGTACTTTTGTTCAGCTCAACAAGGCTTCAGCTAACTTGCTGAGAATTGTGGAACCATGTACTGCCCAGGGCACCCACATCTGAAGTACCCACAGGCATGGTGTGGTGGATTGACTAATGGTAAACTTGTAACACCCAGCTGAGCCAAATCAGCATGGTGCTGGGTGTGGAAGGCGCACCTGAGGACTGCACCAGCTGCAAAGGAGAACTAGAGGGGAAGATGGCATGCTGTTGATTCTCTTACCAGAAGCTTGTTGCTCTGGTTTTCCTGATATGAACTCACCTGTTCTTATTGTTGGAGGAGCTTGGGCACTCGCTGACTCAGAAGGGCTGCAGTTCTTTGGCGGGGAGTTCTGGTCCTTAGCTTAAGTGTTGCTTCCCGGCTCCACTGCAGTTCCCTCAGCCTGATGGTACAGTTACTTCATCCTGCTGGCATAGACCTTCTAGCTGCCACCAGTGACCTTTGGTCCTTCCCAATGCAAGTCCTTGATACAGACTTACATGATACATTGTTGTGGGCTCTAGGCCTCCAGCTAGACTCATGGAGGACATTGTCCTGAGTGCCAGGTCTTCAGCTGACTGGTGCAGGACATTGCCGGGGGACCCAGGCCCTCAGCTGGATTCCTTGGGTCTCTGGTGTGTGGGCAGATCTCTTGCACTCTTCTATATTTGACCCTGTGGGTGAATATTACAAAATAATCCTATAAATTATGTGTCCTGTATTAAATCTATTCCCTTGCAAACCCTGACAACATGTGGCTATGGCAAAATCAGAAAATCAAGTATGCAAGAGGCTTGAACAACAGAAATAATAAATGTAAAGTAATATAGTTTTTTTACCCATAGTAGAAAATTTAGAGCACATAAGCAATAAAAAGTGTCCTAAGTCACCAGAAAATCTCCAAAATTTGAAGTACCCAGAATCTTACAATATTCTCTGACCAAAGTAATTAAACTTGAATGAGCAATCACATGAAACTTTAAAAACTTCAACTGACTAGACAAATGTACTTCTACCTAATTCATAGGCCATAACGAGAGCTTCAAAACTGTACACAGGAAGTAGGGGAAAGGAAGAGCAGATTAAAAATAAAAACAATAAAGTAGGGGAAGGAGAGTAATTCTTTCCTACTGGTGAAACTGTTGAAGAAGAAAGCAGGTGCTTAGGCCTACCCAAGGTTTATTTTTTACATAAGCAAACTTTAGCACATATTAGCACTTTCTTTAGCACATATTAGTGTCAGCCAACACACAGGGATCAATACATAGAGTATAAGTTTTTCAGCAGTTTTTGAGGGGTATATCTTAAAATAAGAAAATTACCACGGAACCTCATAGGTGAGTACTTCAAATTCATAGAATTATCTTACTTTTGCTTATTTTGTCTAACCTTTTTATAATGCTGTTTAATGGAAAGTTCATTTTCTACATTTGAGTTATTTTTCTCTGCCCTCTTGCAGGTTACTCAAATGAGTCGTCCAGACCTAATTCTCTTTCTGATGAAGTACTTGATGGCTCTCATAGTCGGTATTCCTTCAATTTTTTGGGTTGGAAGCAAAAAGACTTGCTTTGAGTGGGCCAGTTTTTTTCATGGTCGCAGGAAAAAAGAGTAAGTTCATAGATTCTCAGTGTTCACCAACATCACATTTATGTAAGGTTTTTTTGTTTTGTTTATGCTAAAACAGTTTGAATTTGGAATATTCAAGTATTCAAACAAGACTGTAACTTTGACAGCAGCCACAAGTTATGATTGGCACAATAGCATTTCAAAATTAAAATCTAAAATCTGATTTTGAGAACATGGCCAAGTGGAAGCATGCCTGAGGTCTGTTCCTTTACTAATTCAGAATATCTAAAGCAAGGCTGATCTTTGTGGAAAAAGAAATCCAAATTATAAAAAAAAAAAAAAATCCAAATTATAATTTGTTAAGTGGAAAATTAATTATTCTTATTATTAAGTAAGTTTTTACTTATCCTCCTGATAGTCCTGTGAGGTTTGTTATGCATTCTCAACTCTGTCTCACAGATGAGAAAAATAGGACAGAGATTAAGTGCCTGGCCAGAGTCACACAGGTATTTAATGTTGAGAGTTAAACTTCACTTGCAGTTATTCATTGTTCTTCCACATATACCAAATTATACAAAGATAGACTGTTATTTTATTTTTTATTTAATACATGTAAAAGTTTTATGACCTTAATTTATGTATTCTTTCTAATTGCAGTCTGGAGCTGTTGAAATAAGGCTAATTAAGAACAGTAGTGGTACATAATCTTGTATTTCTGTTTTTAAGAAGAATATTTCTAGTGGCTTCCAGCATTCCCATTAAGCATCTGGCTTTGGGATTAACATAGGCATATTTTCTCTATGTTAGGACTTAATCATTATCTGTGTTTTATTATGCAGTAATTTTTAAAGATAAAAAATAACATGATCAAGAGAATTAGAAAATGTAACTCTTCCACCTTTCTACCCTGTTACTGAAAACAAGAGCAAAAATCCTTTTGTAATTTGAGGATTAGAATGTACTTTCTCAATATGTGATTTACTGTGTACATGTTGGAGTTTTATTTTTTAATGCAATTGTTTATCTGATTTTAACTCTGATTTTCACACACACATACATAAAGATCTATTTAATTTGCTCTTTTATTTAATTGATGTTCTGTTCATCCTCATAAACATTTACATTTAATCCTTTCATAACATTTAAAAACTTTTGCTCCTGACAATTCTATCCTGAGAATTATAAATTTCCTTAATTTAAAAAAGAGACCATTTTAGAAATGTTGAAGTTGCTATTATATACCTTCATTTTTTTAGTTGAGAAAAATAAAGGCCAGAAAGGATAGTGATTTGCCTAAAACCACATATTTATTGGTAGAGTTGAAACTGAAATCCTGATTTCCTTTTTCTAGCACAACCCTCTTTCCAGCATACCATTTTAGGGGCAGATTGACATGGATTTTCCTTGTAATTCTTTCCTCACCTAACAGTATTGCCTTAAATCAGTCCGAATGACCTAAATGTGCAAACAGTTACTTTCAAGAACACGATCAGTATTGCACGGCAGTGTGGTTATAGTTCTCTTCTACTGGGTGTTAGCCCGTATCCTAAACACATTGTTGTATTTTCTAGGATAGTGAATGAGAGCCGACAGGTACTCCAGGAGCCTGATTTTGCTCAGTCACTCCTGAGGGACCCAAATACTCCTATAATAAGAAAGTCCAGGGGAACGTCCACCCAGGGAACATCTACACATGCGTCTTCAACTCAGCTGGCTATGGTGGATGATCAGAGGAGCAAAGCAGGGAGTGTCCACAGCAAAGTGAGCAGCTATCATGGCAGCCTCCACCGGTCACGTGATGGCAGGTAGGTTTGTGAGTCATGCAGGTTATCCTGTGCTAAGTGAAGAGTAGCCAGTTTGGAAAGAGGAGTGTCATTAAGTCTTTTGAACTTTTCTAGATAGAACCATCCCAGATTACATTCCAACATAAAGCCAGTTAGAGGACTTTAAAGTTTAGATACAGCAAAGTAAGCAATATGGAGTCATTGTGGGGCACTGAGCAGGGAAAAGACAAGGTGACAGGATTAGGTTAGTGAGATTAATTTGGTAAAGATGACAGAATGCCTACCATGGCACTGTGCTAGCTTCTGGGACACAAAGATGACTTACGCATGATCTTTGCTTTTCATAAGCTCCCAGTCCATTCAGAAAAATAGTGTAGCTGATGTGATGGTTAAGAACGTGAGACTGAAACATAAGCCTCAGTTTCCCAATCTAGAAAATAGAAATAGTGCATGTGACCCTTAAGTAATGTAAAAATTAAATGAGATAACCCACCTTGTCACTTGGAACAGTATAGTAATTATCTAATATCACTTTTAAATAAAGTAAAATATAAGTACAATAGCAGAGTCCAGGAATTGGCGAATGCTTTCCCTAAGGAGCCAGATCATAATCATTTTAGACACTGTGTGTCAGCTGTGTCTGTTGCCATCACTGTTCGGTTCTGCTGCTGTGGCATGGAGGCAGCACAGAGAGCTTGTAGTCAAGTGGAAGTGCTGTAACCCAATAAAACCTTATTTACAAAATCAGAAAGGGGGCAGCCATGGCCAGTAGTTTTTTGGCTCACGTTCACTAGGTGCAGTAGAAGAACAGAGGGAATGATTATGTAGTGGCAGAAGAGCATTTTAGGCATTGCTCACGGGGGCTTGTGAGGGGTTTGTCTGGGGCTTTCTTGTTAGTTTTGAGGATTGAGATAGTAGGAGTAGAAATTGCTCAGGAGCCTTGCAGTAAGACATTTGAGAGACGATCAAGGCATGCTGGGGAGTAGTGACAGTGGGATGAGAGGAAGAGCTGGCCTCAGCCATATATGGAGGAAGTGAGGGGAGTTGGTGACAGACTCGGACAGAGTCATATAGCAGCTAGAAACAAAGATTTTTCTTACCGTGTATAAGTTTGGGAAACTGAATAAAGTATTAATTCCTAAAATCTGTAATGTTTGTAACTATCAGTCCTGCCTTCTTTTAGTTCTTTGTCTTCCCATTCTCCCATTTTCCTGTCCTCTTATGACCTGCTTTTTCCTCTTAACTTGCTCTTGTTTGACTTTTTTTTTTAAGTTTATAAAACTTTATTAAACATTTCAAACAGCTGTGCAATGAACACACCAGAAATAAAAGCTCTAGAACAGCAGTCCAAATATTTCACAAGTGTGGCCTTGCAGTCCCATTTCCTAGATGGACTGCCTCAATTTCTGTCCTCTGCCTGGAGAGGGATGGTTCCTACTGGAAGGACAATCATGTGGATTCCCATTAAGGAGAGGCCAGGAGAAAGTCTAGTTTGCCAACACTCGTTACTGAAGCACAGAGAAAAAAACAGCAAGTGACAGTCACAGAATCTTCCTGTGTATTCTTTGAAAGGTAGTCTACATGTGCAGGAATGAAGACGCTCCTGGGGGGAGGCTGATGGCTCCTGCTCCCTTGTGTCTTTTCTGAACCACCTTGGAGTCCAGTGTGCTGGTCACTCTGCAATCCTCATGCTAAATAAAACTGCAGTGGCACCTACTACAGCTAGCTACTGCTAAACTTCAAAACCAGAACATATTCTGTAAAGCTTCTTTAAAAGGAATATACACATGTATTCACACACACACGTACACACAGGGCACATCAAAAAAATATCCAAACACTTATCAAGGGGATTATGGCTACTATGAATCCCAGAAATACTTTCCCATTCATTCAGCTGGGGACTGCTAGGTCCATGTGAACACATCATACCTCCATCCTGCAGAGCATGCACAGGAAACACAAGGCCCCCCTCTCGGGATGGCTGAGAAAGGCAGGAGGAAGAGTAAAGGAAGTGGGGCTGGAAGCATGAGCCCAGACACCCAGGTAAAAGAGCAACATCTGTCTGTTGCTTCTTTTAAAAATGAATTGGAGAAAATACTGGAGGCTTGTGGATGGATGGATGGATATATATATCTGCTGAACAGGGGAAGAAGGATGAAAAAGCAAGGCTCTCGGGCGCCAACAATCTCTTCAAATTTGAGATAAGTACAAAAATGAGCCCTGTCATGGACAGCTGCTCCAAAAAAAAGGAAAGTAGAAGAGAACCAAAGGAAAACCAGGAGAGGGGCTAAGGAGTCAGTATCATTCTGGGAAGAAGGGAGATTTTTTTTTTTTAATATCTTTTTTTTTTTAATTTTTTATTTATTTATTTGTGTGTGTGTGTGTGTGTGTGTGTGTGTGTGTGTGTGTGGCCAGCTCAGCCCACCAGGGGGCAGGGCTGGCTGGCATGTGGTGCTGGGGGATTGAACCGAGGTCCCTGTGCTTTTTGCTAAGCTTATTCTAAGTAGGTGCTTTAGACCATTGAGCCATCTCACCAGCCCCAGAAGGGAGATTTTGACAAGGAGTCAAAGAAGTGACAATGAGACTGACATTTTATCTGCCCAGGCCAAGCCAGGATGGTTGATCAGGATGGGTGTGGGCTCCTCGCAGTAATGAGGCAAGGGGGTGGCCATCCTGTCAACCAGGACCCAGATGGGGACAGAACACACACAATCACAAGACCACCCACAACTGCAAGACTATAATAAAAGCACCAGTCAGTGCCATTATTCACATTATAAGGATAAAACATCACAGGCCAAAAAGGCATTGTCAGGAATGTGATACCCGCAAGGCTGCGGGATTTGAAACTCCAGTGCTTTATGACCTATGTCAATGCCTCCCCTCCCATCTTCTGCTTTCCTAGCAAGCTAACAGGACAGCTGTTAGGTACCCACAACACCAGGGTTGTGTGCTGAATCTGGAAGTGGGGAATCAGTGTAGTGGTACAGGAAACAGTCTCCCCAGCAGCTATAACAGATAAGGAACAGGGCTGCCAGGAAAACCAAGGCACAGATTGTGCAAGGCTTCCGTTCCAGGAGAAAGCTGAGCAGGTAGAAGCCCATGAACATGGAGTGGCTGAACCACAGGGCGGGGTTGAGGGGCTTGGGGATGAGGAGGACAGGCAGCAGCCACTGGAGGCAGTACATGATCTCTGTCGGGCAGGGCCTTCACCAAGGCTGCCAGGCACTGCTCCAGGAATCGAACTAATGGGAGCCAGTGGGTGCAGGTGGCTGCCCTCTGTTTTCTTCAACCCTCTCTCCAGGAGCTGAGCTGCTGTGCTCTCTGGCTGTCAGCCTGGGATCACCAAGGCAGCAGGGATTCTGTGAGCCCTGCCATGGTGCCGCCACCCCTGGCGTCGTCGCCATCATAGCCTGCCTCCACCTCAGCTCACCACAGACCTCTTGTTTGACTTTGAACTTAAAGAGATATACTTAAAGAAATATACTGTATTTCAAAGTTTCACTCTCAGGGGCCGGGGAGGTGGCTCAGGAGACTAAGCACTTACTTGGCAAGCGCAAGGGACCTGAGTTCAATCCCCAGTTCCGCCAAAATAAAACAAAACAAAACAAAGTTTCACTCTCTTATATCTTTTTTATCTGTTTTGTTTTGCCTCTGTATATTTTTGAAATTATAATATTTTGAATATTTCTTTTCTATCTTGCCCTTCTCTTATAAATCTAGTCTTTTTCTGCTTCTTACTTCCTTAAACAAACTGTACCTTCTAGCTCAACCAGTATCTTGTTTTTAGCCACATTCAAGGATTCTTTTTCCTTCTTCGTTCTTTCCTTCCACTTGGCACTTCCATATGAGACACATTCTTTTAAGTTCTAAAGTTGCAAAGATGGAAGACAGAAACTAAACAATTACGATATCCTTAAGAGGCATAATAAAAGTATGCAAAAGGTGCTTTGGAATCCCAGAGAAGAAAACCACCTGTCTCATCACAGAAAGTCAGAGACAGCTTCCCAAGAAGTCATGCTGGTATTTTGAATAGGATTCAGAGGAGGCATCTCAGAATGAAAGGTGAAACAGCAGTACTGAGGAGGCAGGCCATCAGCTACCTGGGTATCCGAGCACAGGATGTGTGTTGGACAATTTTAGGAAATGAAACCATGATGAGGAATTTGAATTTTCCCCTAAGGGCAGTGAGAAACTGTTAAAGACTTTGAGCATTGGAGTGATAAAATCAGACTTGAATTTTAGAAAAAGCACTTGGTAACAGCATTGGTAAGGAGATTGCAAGTTAAGACCAATGAGAGAGATTCTATAGTGACTGAGCAGCCCTAACATAAGACACCAATAAGAGAGAGAAGAATCATAGAATTTCTTAGAATATATTTGATCAGTCATCATCTCTTGAACTTAAAGTATTACATTTAACACGATTGGCCTTATCCTTTTCAGTGATGCATAACTGATGTACAGTATAACTCCTGTATATGTGGCATTCTCTGTATAGACATATAGAAGAAAGTATAATTTCTGTAACCTTTTAAATGAGATAGGGCATATACAATTGAACCAATTACATATAAGCTCAAGCCATAACACAATTGAAAGCTGATAGTTTTTTGTTTTGTTTTTGGTACCGGGAATAAAGGCTTTTTTTTTTTTTTTTTTTCCTTTTGCAGTACTGGGGTTAGAACTTGGACCTTACACTTGCCAGGCAGGCACTTATGTCACTGAGCTATCTCCCCAGCCCCACAACACAATGTAAATAGTGTTAGAGGGGCTGGGGATTTAACTCAGCAGTAGAATGCTTGCCTAGCAAGCTAGAAGCCCTGGGTTTGGTCCTTGGCACCAAAACCAAAAACTAAACCTCACCTAAAAAACAATTCAAGCAAACAAACAAATAATGGTGTTATAGATGATAGATATTGCAGGACTTCAGGAAAAGAAAGAGTAGTCCATGAAACTATCAGAGAGGAGATAAATAGGGTGAATTAATGATGAAAGGCGTGTTCCTATTGAGTAGAGAATTTCTGAGAAGAGTTAAAGATAGTTTTTAGCTACTGTAGTCTTAGTAGAACTGTATCATATAAGAAAATGTATAATTATCCATTTAAGATAGCTGGTAATTAAAATTGTGAAATAGAATCCCTTGAATTACAATAAAGAACAAGACCTTTGTAAATACTTATAATAGTCATAACTATACAGGAAGAACAGTGGGCAGGCATGAGAGTCAAACAGCATGCTTACAGACAATAAGAAAATGTCTGCAAGTGTGCGGCAGGAGAATCAGAGACTAGATTATGATGTCTGCCTTTCTGCTTAATCAGAATCACCTCATTATCAAGGCCTACGTCATTCCAATTTCCATGGCAGTTAATTTACTGCTTTTTGTCTTTAACATTCCTTTAGTTATGATCTATTTTTCAGTATCGTTTCCTTCCTCAGCCAGATTTGTAACTTCTGAAGAATGAGAGTGGGTGACATACATCTGTGTTCCTCTTTAATATATAGCACAGCACTAGATAGATGTACATATGTATTTATATTTACCAAATAGTGACCTTAAGAGTAATGTGTGAGTTACCCAGAAGCTCAGGGCCCAGAACTACAGCGTGCCCTATTGAAGGCCTGCTGAACTGTGGCCCATGAAGTCCTACTGTAGGATCCTCTGTCATGCTCAGACCTTCTGGGAAAATGTGAGAGATTCCAAGTCTGTGTTGAGCCTAGAAGTCTGAACAAGGATTTTCATAGTTCCAAAGCCACCTCCCAGAGACTTCTTTCTGTTTCGGTCAGTGTTGACTTGATATGTGATGCTACCTTTTAGGCTCTTGTCATCATCTTATGATATGTTGGCTGTGGAACTCAGACACCCAACCCCTCCCCTGGTGCAGACTCCTGGATAGTAATTATTGATCTAAGGGGCCAGGGAGATGGCTCAGTAGAATAAGTGATTCCCTGGCAAGCGCAAGGGCCTGAGTTCAATCCCTGGTCCCGCCCCAAAAAAAAAAATCTTTGTGCTATGTACAGTACACCTACATACTTTGTCAACTTCAAAGAATAACTAATTGATAGTTAGATGAGGGATGGGCAACAGAGAAAGTCACAGAGTAGGAAAGTGGAGATCTGGGAGACTGACTGGGTCAGTATGTAGGTGACATGACAAGGGAAAGTGAGAGCATAAATAATGAGATATTATTAATGCAGCAGATGGTATGGAGAATCAAAAAAGAAATGATTTCCAAATTTTATTCTTTTT